TACAAAGCACATTCAAGCAAAAAAAAGAGACATTTCAAACATCAGATAAAGTTGTCTATGGAGCAACTTGATTCAGCCCAATGTGCGCCGTCGTGTAAAGACGTTCAACGATTAACTAGTTGCTGAAACAACGCTCGTAACTCTACTAATACTGATGTTATTGTACATATAACTTCAAGGATGGCGAGTTAACTTTACTATGAGTTTATTTTTATTTATCGGCACAGTATGTGCTGCTCTTCCATACATCTCTATCAGCCGTATCATCATATCTGAATCCATTCCTTTCTTAAGCATATCCTCTTTCACACAATCCATCCATACTTTCTTCGGTTTCCTTCGGTTTTCTTCGTTTTCCACGTTCATTCTTAACACTTTCTGGTTTATGTCCCCATCGTCTCGTCGCATAACATGTCCATACCACGCTAACCTTTTGCTTTTCAATTTCTCCACCACTGACGCTATTTTCAAACTTCCTCTAATATACACATTCTTAACTTTATCCAAATTTTTTGTATCGTTTACTTCTTGTTATTCTATTTACATCAGCTGATTCACGTCTTCATAAGAGCGGGCGCACACCTTTGACTAATTTTAAATGTTGTGCGATTGTCTATTGTTTCGCAGCCCATCCAACTGTTTAGTTGCACAACTATCGAGTAGTGTGCGCATTCCCATATAAGCTCATAGGAAACATAGCGAGACTAAACAGTTCTGTGATAGTTTACTCCAAGGTGTGCGCGCTCTGACTCAATCTAACTAAGATTAAAAATGCGAAAGTTTAGATGGATAGATGGATGGATGGATGTTTGTTAGCGTTTGTAGCCTAAACGGCTGAACGGATCTCCATGAAATTTAGCACAGGTTTAGAACATACTCTGGAAGAACACATAGGCTACTTTTTATCCCGGGATATATATTTTAATGTTTACTCGATCATTCTGCAACGGTTCAACATATCTTATTGAAATTTGGCACAGGCATAAAACAAAGTCTGGAGTACACATGGATTAGCTTCATTTCCGAGAAATGTCCGATTCCCGAGGGATACGTAGCTTTTTGTAATTTATATAGTTCCTATGTTTTCTAATACCTCGCTGACAAAGTCGCGGGCAACTGCTCGTCTTGCTATAATTTAGAGATGGTCTTACTCAACATTAGCGCAATGCGAATTAGTTGAAACATTAATCAATTACAAAGATAAGACATATCTTATGAGATCTCCTAAATGACTTTGTCTATTGTATTACATTTTCGTACTAAGTTTTAAAGCTTATGCAAGTTGGCAACATAGTGAGGGTACACGACAGACAGCGAGGGGCTATTGTGTTGGCAGGCCGCCGCACTGGGTCAATTGCCTTTGTTCTAAGGATTCTACACTTACATCGATCGATACTTTAAAACAAACACAAGAAGCGCACATCATACAAGACAGTCTTACTATGATGAAATAGTTTTAAGACTTACACTTATCATAATGTTGCCATAAGAATATTCTTAACTCGTCCATCGTTTTTGACAAAATGGTAACTGACTTAAAACTGAAGGTGTAAGAGCGGACGCACACCTTTGAATAAACTATCGCACAACTGTTGTGTGCACAACTGTTGTCGATTGTTTCGCAGTAAATTCAACTATTTATTTGCAGAAGTAAAATCGAATACTGTGTGGACTTCCATATAAGATCAAGGAATTTAAGCGAGACAAAACAATTGCGTGAAATAGTTTCAAGTGAGCGCACTCTTTTCACCGTGCATAATGATAGTACAACATAATATATCATTATCAATCAAGGTAATGCGGACATAGCTATAACATCATACATTTTAAAAAGCAAATAGTAATAAAATAACGTACCAAAACATTTAAATGTTATCAAGTCAATAAAACGCCTAATTCCAAATGCTGTATAAACGTTACATAAAAACCTACATAATACTATAAACAGACTTCCTACCAGAACAAGGTTATACGTGGAGATATTAACAAATCGCAAACAGCTGATAGTATAGTACTATCCAAACTTAATAGTGGCTCGAGATACCGCATGAGACAATGCACTCAATACAACATAAATCTTTTTTCACTGGCTTGTCACTTGTATTCCTGCATTATTATTGTGTATTTTTCTTCAAAGATAATGTGAAACATGTTATACATCATTACAAGTATCACTGCATTCAAAACCCAGTCAGGACGCGCTCGTAGCTATCCACGAGCAGTCGTAAAGTTTGTATCTTATAAAACCGTGATTACAAAATTAATTCGCGGACAATGTCGCCAAACGTTCCGCATATAAATACTTACATTTGTATGTATAAACTTCCGTATGCGGGTTGGAAGAACTTACGCAATGTGGATTTATCTAAATTCCTTGTTTGCAGTTGAATTAAATCTCACTGGAAGCAACTAAAAATATCTTGATTTTTGACCGACTTCCCAAAAGAAGCAGGTACTCAATTCGTCTGTATGTTTTTTATATCAATAAGTACAATGCGCCAGTTATTACATATGTTTTTGGCATCAACAAGCTTGTTTCACAGATTCTACTGACATACATAAGCATATACCCATTTCTTTTATTCAACTTAAAATAACTGTGATAGCAACATATTTTGTTTTTTGCAAGACGATTTCGATAGTGGAGTTTCGTACTGAGGGATGCCGGACACAGTCTGCATATATCTGATAATGTTGCCAACTGTGTAGAGAATAATCATAACAGTTATTCCAGTGTTGCCACACATTTCCCTCAGCTACCGAGGTGAATGACCGTTATCGCGGTTGCCACACGAAAAATGTAATCTGCCAGTTTTATAGCTATAAACATAATGCACTTAAGGTACGTGTGACAAGAATGCAGAACGATAAAAACCATTTCGTCCTGTTTCCAATTTAGATTGTAACAATCGAAAGTATAATTCAATATAAAAAAGTATAACACAAATGTCTTCCTGATTTTAACTTTCATTTCATAAGTGACGTAATTAAATACTAAATCTAGAAACAAACCTGACTTAGGTTTTCCTTATCACAATAAAAACATGTTCGTTAACTTTGATAAATAATAGGACTTATCGAATGTTATCTTATTAAAAAAAAAC